ATATTTTACCGTTGCTATTTTTATTAATCACTAAATACTCACACCTACATTGATAAATTCAACTTAATTATTTTAATTTCCAAATTGTCTTTACTTAAATAATTAAATTTTATTAATTCTAGCATTAGATTAACAAATTTTTCGAAAAAACGTTTGGAGGCCTCATATACGGATCTAGGTCGTCATCTCATCTTCAACCCAATATATAAGCGATTAAAACTTTGTAGAGGATTAACTTCGTGGTGTGATGAAATTGCTTCCCAACTAAAGCTTTAGGCCACAAAACATCAGATAGCAGCACTGATCTCTCAATTCACTTCGGCAATAATAACATTGTCAGAGTTACTAGGAATGTAAAGTCATTCACTTTCTTAAATGATAAACTACCAAATTTCAGTGGCTATATACTTGGTTTTATTTCCATTCACAATTAGCCCTAAGTTACTTTCGTTAGGTTTGAGCTCAAGGAATGCTTCCTCTACAGCACTTGTCCAGATCATCGGCCAACCATAGAATCTGTAAGGTTCGGTTATGATTGTAGAAGTGGAGTGGATCTGTGAGCTTTTGTCTGCTCCCTGGAGTCTAATTATAAAATGCCAAAATTGAAGAGAAGGAGGAACAATGAATCTACTTTTCTAGCACTTAAAATCCATCAGCATGACGTGGTTTTGTAAGTTCATTGAGTACTCCATTTCCTACATGCATTCTTCAAAAAACAATTATAACCTTACAAATAACGAGAGACCACTTCATCCACACATTTAAAGTATACATTCATTTTGTAGACAATTAAAAAAAATTAAATTTAATTACACACAATTAACATAATCTGAAATCAGTAGTACAGATTTTCCTTCTTATCTGTCACTCGTTATTTCGGTATGTTAGCAATCCGGCTTAAGCAACTTTTGTTTAATTTTCAATTTATATTTTCCAACAAATATCCTAAAATTAGATCAATTACGATATATTACTTAATTGTTTTTCAAGAATACAAGGGCAGTAAGAACTTTCTTCAGGTTCTCTAACTAAACAACACCAGCGCAGATCGAATTCCTTTAAATAAATAGTTACTTTGAAATTGAAATGAGACCGCTGAATTTATAATAAAATTATTAATAGTGAATAATTGAAGAGAGGAACAGTTGTGGTGATCAGTAAAAAAAAAAAAAAAAAAAAGCAAAAATAAACGTTTTGTCCCAAAGTTCAGTGATAAAAAATCCAGATAAAAATAGGTATGAGAAACTATAAACATTAAATAATAAATAAATTTTAAAAAATTGGTGCCCGCAACACACAACTTACCCCTCCCTCTACTTTGAATAAAAATTATTTTCTGGCAATGTTGTGCAATTATAGAGTTTTTGAAGTGCAGTTTTAACAGAGCTAGCTTAAAGCTTACAGCTAACAAATCATTAAGACCACTAAAATAACAAAGACTCTATTAATTATATCAAAACAACAAAGACTCTAGAGATAGACAACCTGCCATCAGAACTTTTTATAGATGGAGGAGACGATTTAAGACCCAAGCTACTACAACTAATCCAGAAAATATGGGAAGAGGAAAGGATACCTCAGGCTTGGAATAGAGGCCTAATCTGTCATATCCTGAAGAAAGGCTCCATGTATGAGTGTAGTGATTAAAGAGGCATAGCACTTTACACTCCTGGTTGCCTACAAGATAATGATCAATATCCTACTAATCCGGATATATCTACATTACGAGAATATAATAGGCGACCACCAAGATGGATTCAGAAATGAGAGGAGCACGCTAGACCAGATCTTTATCTTAAAACAAGTACTCGAAAAACGATGGGAAGCAGCTCAGTCCACGCCCTATTTGTAGATTTCAAAGCAGCCTATGATTCTGTGAACAGAAGCTGTCTTTAAAAATCATGTTTGAACTGAGAATTCTGACAAAGGCGATGGACAAAGGCGTGTACAAATGATCCCAAATGTAGAGTTAGAATACAAAGAGAAGTATTTGAAGCCTTCAAAGTTCGAACTGGCTAACGGCAGGGAGATGGACTATGTTGTTGTTCAACACCGATGTTGTTCAACTTACCCCTGGAGAAGGTAATAAGAACAGGAAAATGGAAGGGTCCACGTCGCAATGAATCATAAAATCCTTGGATACGCAGATGATATAGCTGTCCTTGGAAGTAATCAAGACGACATTGAGAAACTCGCTACAACACTGATAATAGAAGCAGAGCAGATCGGCCAACTAAGTAAATGAACACAAAACAAAATATATGATAGGCCGAAATTTCAACTCCAATAACAGGATCTGCGTAAAAGGAAACTCATTCTCGAGAGTAGAAAAAATAAAATATCTAGGCTCCACAATAACATCAATGAATGACCAACGGGCAGAAATATAGCAGCCTATAACTAGCGCAAACAAATACCTTCTTCCTCTCAAAGGTATTGAAATCTCGAAAAATCTCAAGAAATATCAAAGTATGTTTGTACAATGCTATGATAAAGCTAATTCTAATGAGACCTGGTGGATGGCTGTGAGACCTGGACACTAACCAGAACCCTTTATAAATCCATGAAATATTTTTATATTTCACTTCTTCGTTCATATAAGTATTATAAAATATTTTTTTAAACAATGCCATTGCCTTGATTAGGTGGATTTTAAATGCATTTTTTCAAACTTAAAAAAGTTTACATTTAGTTAGTAAATTTGATTTAATTTCCTTGAAAACATGTGATTAACGTTAAATAATATCAGTTTTCTCAAATTATTATTAATAATTTTTCACCACTCTCCGTTACTTTCTACGACTTTCTATATTAGATATTGTTTTTCTAAAATTCTCCGTTTTTCAACGAAAGATTACACGTATACTTTCGGACTAGTATTCCCGAAAATTTATTTTCGACCTAAATAAACACTTTCACTTGTTTCTCTATTTTTCGATTATCAAATCCTTTCATAAATTATATTTAGAATTTTTGTCGTAACTCTTAATAATGAGAGATAGTTAATTATTTAATATAAACTAAATTAAAGTTACTTTAGAAGGAGACATGTTTTACATTTAAGCTCTGTAAAGTGACATAAATGGGGAGAAGACCTCAATGATATTAAAGACTACTTAATAATACACTGATATACCGAGTTTGAACAAAATCGTTAGAGCCGTTTTCGAGAAAACTGTAAAAATGTGTTACATGGTTTATATAAAGTATCACTTCCGGTTAGCCGATTTTGACGAAAACGTTGCTGTATCATCTGAAGTATATATAAACTTTAAATATGCCATTGCATTTTCATACGACTTAATTTTTGAGCTAGATTGGACACACACAGGCACGCCCGCGCGCACACACTCACACACGCAGACCATTTAGCGGGACTTGGTTATTTGGACTCAGGAGACCTCAAAACATGTATTGCCATTGAAAACTCAGATTCAAAAATTTCACGATCGCAATAATGTCTCTGACTATAGTATATTTCATATATGGATAAGTGAAAGTAAAAAAGTTAAAATTAATTAAAATTATTAGTTAAGTTAAAATTATTAACAGTTTATTAAAGATAAGATAGTATAATAACTTTTTTTACTTTCAATTACCTATATATCTAATATATAGTAAGAGTAAGTATTGCGATCGTGAAAATTTTCGAATTTGAGTTTTCAACAGAAATACACGTTTTAAGGTACGTCCCGAAAAATGGTCTGTGTGTGTGTGTCTGTGAATACTCCAGCTCGAAAATGAAAAATCGAAGGAAACTGATACTACGTATTTAACATAGGTATATGCCTTAGATGACCTAGCAACATTTCCCATAAAATCGGCTAATCGCAAGTACCCCTTTATAATGATGAAAAACATTTTTACAATTTTCTCAAAAACGGCTCTCGTTAGATGTTGATTAAACTCGGTGTATTATTGTATAATTAAGTGGTCTTAAATATTAATTAGATCTTATCCCCGTTGATGTCACTTTACTGGGCTTAAATGCCCAATGTTCATGTACGTCTTCCTCTAAAGTACCTTTATATGGTACATTTCAAATAATTAACAATATATATTTATTAAAAGTTACAAAAAATGCTAAATGTAACTTTTGAAAGAATTTGATAATTTCATAAAGGAGAAAAAAATAAAAATGCTTATATCCAGGTCGAAAATGAATCTCCGGAAATAACAGGCAGAAGGTACACGTATAATATATCGTTCGAGATCGGAAAATTTTAGAAAAAACAATATCTAATGTAGAAAGTTGTAGAAGGTAACGGAGAGGTGGCGAAAAATTATAATTAATAATTTTTTTTTATTTTTTATAATGTTGGCTGAAGGCACGTCGACCCCTATTGGGTCCATTGTGCGCATAATGAATAATGTTTGAAAACTAATGATATTTGACGTAAATCACATGTTTTCAATAAAATTAAATGAAATTTACTAACTAAATGTAAACTTAAAAAAATATTTTTAAGTTGGTATAAAATATTTAAAATCCTTCTAATCAAGCCAATGGCATTGTTAAAAAAAACTATTTCATTGTACTTGTGTAAAATAAGAAGTATAATATAAAACCATTTCATGGATGTTTAAAGCATATGTTTATAACTTTAAATACATTTACTGTAGTTTAATAATTCTAGATCTGATAATATATTTTAATAATTACGTACCAACGTTTATTCCGAAAAATTGTCATGTAACTTTTAGCTTTAGCTCAGTTAAAAATGCAGTTCAAAAATTTTATTATAGCCCAACATGGCTAGAAAATAATTTCTATTCAAAGTTGAGCGGTAAGTGAAAGTTGTGTTGCGCGCAGCAGATTTTTATTTTATTTATTTAATGTTTGTAGTTGTTCATACCTGTTTTTTTTTCTTAGTCCTGATGAAGGCCTGAACTTTAGTCCGAAACGTCGGCAAAAATAAAAATAAATATACTTATTTATTTTTACTTTTTTTTGACTGATCATCCCAACCATTCTTCTCTTCAAAGTTATTAATACTTACATCATATATTTTCTTCTGTAATTGAAATGCAGAAAGCAAGAAATCTTTGTTAAATGCTGGTCCAAACTCAATAAAACCACCAGAAGTGTTGTGTCCAATCTACAATTAAATATTCATATTATATAATTATATTATAAAAGGAAACACTGTTTAGTTAGTATTTATTAACTATTTACTTTTGGTAAATTAATAGGTTTCAAAAAAATCTGTTCAGTCCTAAAAAAAGGACCAAATCTCTCTTCAAAATAATCTTTTTCAATACGTGAGCGTGAATCAGGAGCAGCCCAAATTTTAATTGGATCAGAGGTTACTTCTAAATGTAGAATCCCATAAGTACACACTGCAATCGCCCAACTACTTAATGCTAAAACCAAAGTTGGTCTCTTGGCTGCAGCTAAAAAATGTGTAATTACATTTTCTTTAAATTTATTGATAATGTAAAATTAAAACTATATATTTTTAGTTACCATTTTCTTCTATACCAATTTTCTATATAATTTTCTCACCATTTGTATTGGGTACATAAGAAAATACGCACATAATTTTATTTAAAACTAGAATAATCAAATTAAAACACGTTCAATAAATCAATAAAAGTCTTCCATTTTCACATGTTTACTCCCTAAATCATTTCATACCACAGGCGGATTTACGGGGGAGAGGGGGCTTTGGGGCTATATATTTGAAAAAAAAAAATCGTTCGGGCTGAAGCCCCCACAAAATTAAACCCTGGATCCTCTAGTGATTCATTGCGATTACTCTGTTAAAAATTACATTAATTGTTAAATGAAAATTAATGAAATTGGCACCAGACCATTTATACATTATTGCCCAAATTTCCTTCGACTTTTGGCCATCAAATAAACCATTCGTAGAGGAAAATACGTTCGCTCATTCGTGAACGAAATAAGGAATGGAATTTGTTTGATATCTGACCACAAGCATACAGAAACGGAACCAGTTTTGTACGTTGATATCTAGAGAAGTGAAACGGGAATGGTAATTATTTTTATTTAATCTTTTGCATAGATGGAAGGTTTCTCTACTTTCAGTAGTGAGAGAGCAAAATTACAAACACAAATTTATTCATTAAAACAATTAATTTGTACTACAAAAGTAAATTTATTATGAAACTCAAAATACACTTTTAATGAAGCAATCTTTATACTTAAGGAGGCAGATGGATTTAATATTTGTGAATACCAGTGAATTATACTTAAAATTGGTAAAAATAAACTAAAATAATATTCGAACATAATATCTTCATGCTGCTTTTGTTCTTCGAGATCCCTTATAAAAAACCTAATCTTGGACAACCTTCAAACAGAGTGTAACTTGTGTTAAGTCCACGATAAACAATAGTTTCAGGCTTATCGAAACTAGTCCACGAGAAATCAAAATTAATTCATGATAAAAAATAGTTTTGGCACATTAAAATTTGTTTTCTTTTCTTTTTATTGAATAGTCAATAATAAAATCTGCTACATTGAAGGCAAAAAGTATCTAGGCGTCATTCATACCATATATACATGTAATAGAGAAATAAACATGAATAGCAAAGACAGAAAAAATTATAATAAACATAATAAGTAAAAAAATAACATAGTAATATACAAGCGAAATAAGAAATGAACAAATAAGTAACAATAAATTAAATCTTTTTAACACATTCATTCATATGCAATGGATGATGCAATCTTCCAAAAGTGAAAGGCAAAGCACTCCAAGAGATCCCAGTGCTGCTCTTCCAGGTGTTTATTGAATATTTATATACAAGGTATTTCAGTGCTAAGTGGCCAAAGTGAAAAAATAAACCAACGACCCCAAAACAAGAAAAAATTTCTTCTTAAGGGATGTCCGTAAACGCTTTGTTTGGGAGATATTCACACCTAAAGATTTTCGTTGGTATGGATTATTTACGTTATATGTAATAAATAAAACATATTTATTTGTTCTAACTTCTTTATTAATTAAATGTAAACGTTAACATTCATATTAGATGTTGTTCAAAGTGATTTCCTTGACCATTAAGACAGGCTCGGTATCTTTCTTCAACAGCAGCAGTGGCAGAACGGCACTGGATATGTGTTATTGTTTCACAAGATTCAACTATCTTGGTAAAGAATTAAGGTCATTGACCGGACTTGTATAGACTATTTGTTTAATATCACCCCAAACAAAAAAATCCAGTGGTGTCTGGTCTGGAGAGCGTGCAGGCCGCTGGTCCTGCTCGGCATATCCATTGATTAGGATATGGGATATGATTGAGCAATCCGGTCAATCACCTTAATTCCTTACGGAGAAGGATGATTGAAACAATAAATATTTTGATTTGAAACAAGTCTTGTGAAACATGTCGTATTGTGAAATTAATGTGTTTGTATTTTTATTAATTGATTTTTAAGCCAGTTGTTGCACCACTGCTCAATCAAGGAGATGTGAGATTGTAGGTTAAGAGATGCTATTCGAAGATCTGAGAGAGAGGATAAAATGGCAGTATCATCAGTAAATGTAGCTAGGAAGATACGGGGATTTGAATAGGAAATAGTAATAGCGGTAAATAGGATGTAGTGCACTAGGCCCAAGGAACTGCCTTTTAACACCAGCCTCAACTGGATAATAATTGGAGAATTCAATGCCGCAACTGACATGAAAGGAACGGTTTGAAAGACAGGATTTGAGGACTATGGTCAAGGATTGAGGTAAATGGGTTTTGAGCTTTAATAGCAAGTACATTACACAAGTCCACGATAAACAAAAGTTTTTAGTACATCAAAAGGAGGCGGTAGCAACGCCATCAGCGCGAAGAATACAACGGAAATGATGGTTATAGACGAAATGTAGATTTTTTAAGATTCAAGAAATATTTTTGTTTAGGTGTTTAAAAAGGAGAATATCCACTTTTAGCAGGAAACTTTTCAAATAATTTAGAGCTAAAAAATATACAATTTGATATTATAATAATTTATAAAGACTAATTTATAATATATATATATAGTAGTACAAGGGATACAAATCGAAAGGTCTGTACCTACCTTGATTGACAATTTAATATGAGACAATAAATACATATTTAACATTGATTAAACCAAATACCTTTTATCAGAAAATATCATCGATTAATTATATAAGGATTGATCATGAACTAATTTATTTCCAAGTGTAGTAATATGGGTAGTAAAATGAAATAAGTCGCTTTCAGCTCGGGCGGATCCACGGGGGGGAGGAGGGGGGGCTTTCGGGCTGAAGCGCCCCCCCCCCCCAAAATGGTAAAATATAACAACGTTTTATCGAAAAAAATATTAAAAAAGTATCGCTTAAAGTATTATTGTTCATGTATTTACATTTAAAAGAGCTTTAGGAATCACTTAAACACCATTTTATATAAGTAGTTAGCTTCTTTCTTTTTTCCCAAAGTAATTATTATCGTTATTTTATTGAAAAAAAAAACTTTCGGGCTGAAGCCCGCCCAAAAATAAATCCTGGATCCGCTAGTGGCTTTCAGGATTATTTTTACATAGATCTGCTGCTATCCAATCAATGTAATCGTTCACCTGTTGGGCCGGATGAAAAAAATCATTTTTTTTCTTTACAAAAATCAAGACAAACACGACTCCATCGATTCATATTGAACCTGGTAGGAATTAAAGCTTCTACATACTACAACACATTGTCACGAATCCAAAAATACAAATTAGACAAGTGCAATGATCAAATTAAGATCGGAGACATAAAACAAACGTTTGAGGTATACTTTTATGTTACGAAGAAATAAGATATAAATGTAAAGATTTTGGGTTGGAAGAGCAGTAATTTCTCTTTCCAACTCCGACGACATCATGGTTTTCCCCCTGAGATCTTTTTTGTGATCTTGATCAGCGATTCCTTTACAATGCCTTATCTTTTTCTGTCTCCATCTGAGTTTCCTTTTGGCGGTCGCTGAATGTATCCTGAAATTATTTCTTCCTCTAGGCATTCCAGATTCCAGACTGAACTTTGATGATTCGTAATACGATCATCTCATCTGCTGTTTTTCAGTTGTGCTTGTGAATGTCTTTGTAAAATACAGATATTACTTTTAGTGATTTTTTACCTCCGAAATTAACAAGCCTTACACCATTGTCTTTAGTTTGGTTATGGAGACTGTGTTTTCCGATAGAGGATCTGAGTTCTCCTTATTTGCCAATTTGTACATTGAATTCACCTAAGATGATCTTGATATCATAAGAGCAGTATCATAACGTAATACCTTTCTAATTACTCGTAGAAAGCCTCTTTTCCCCCTTCTTCTTGATACATTGTTGGAGGATGCGCATAGATATATATATAAGGCAAGAAGGATATAATGATTGAATGTAAAAATAAAAACAAGCATCACAGCAGATTTAGGTACAGCAAAATCACGAGCCTCTTGCTAAACTCAACTGATGGACGGTACGATTAGAGATGCCAAACCTTCTTCGCACCATCGCGAAATACTCTCAAATTTTCCCAGTTCTTCATTGGTATAAAGCTTCTAGAACTTAGTCTTTGCCTAGTGTCTGTTTTAACATTTTTTATTATTATTGTTAACTTTTTCTTCTCTTTTAGTTCACCTATTCACGCACTACAAGATATAAAATAATAATATAGATTTTGCTTTTTACCTTTCCCACAGTAGTAAAACCATTTTGTGAGTGTTGCCTCTGATTTATCACTCAACTTATTCATAAATGAAGTCTCTATTCTCTCAGTATTATTTACAATGTTTTGTTGTATATTAACAATGCCATCTGGAAAAGCAAATATTATAAGGTGACATAATGATATCTACATTTTCTATGTTTTTCTAATTAGAAAAATAATTTACTGGAATATCTCCTTTTTCGTATGGTACTTCTGAATCTTACGATTAGAAATGCAACAAGAATTACTAGGAAAATCAAAAGAGAAATGAGGCCTAATCCGTCTACTTTTCCAATGTAAAAGCTGTAATCCACAGTGGAATAATTGTGATCTACAGGGCAACTGTCTAGACAATCAACACAGCTACATGCATCAGTTTCATCCTGAAATTCATAAATATTTCATCATTAGTAAGAATTATTATTATTTGTCAAATCATTCAATAATTTCAGAGAACTGAATAAAAAAAAATAAAACAGTTACATTGAAGGATTCATTACAACGGTATGTTTTCGCATCAAACGGAATAAAATTTAAAAAAGGTTTTTCCATCCTCTTGAAATTAATTGTAAATGGTGCTGCGGGGTTCTGAGATGTATCTCCAAGAAAACGAAACCATCTAGGAAAGAAATGTTTATTAATATATTTTATTAATGTATGTGTGTATTTAAGTTGTTCAAATTTGATTAGTTTAGTTTATTTTTCTTTATATACATTTACTTTGAGTATTATTATTTTTTGTTTAATTTATTTTTATTTATTAAACATAGAATGTAAATAAGCTACTCCATCACTATTAGTAGTGCCCTTGAATGTAGCAGAATGTAAAATCACTCAACAAAGAAATATTGTATTATTCTATTTTATTGTACTAAATCCAAGATTTGGTAATTTTCTATTCAATATGATTATTGTTTAGCTCCAATATAGATAAAATTTAGGAGCATGAATGTTATTTTTCAGGGTTGAAAGTACAGTGATCCAATAGTTCTAACCATTTCTCCATGTATGGTCTGATAGATTACTACCGTAGAGTACAGAATAATAAATTACATCTAGGAGTACTATGATGTAGTCTAATATCGCTATTCTCTATAGTTATTTAAATAAATGATAAAATACATTCAAATCAGATATAGATATGAAAGGGATGTAGGGGATTCCTGCTAGGCATACTGGGATTTAGCCCGTTTAACTTGTCAGTGAGAGGTAGGCAGGCAGCTGTTGATATTAAATAGCGTAAAAGGTTAATTTACTTTGTCTTTTGGAAAAAACTGTTAATGAAGTGTAAATAATCCATTTTTTGTGTAGTAAAAGTGTTTTCTCAAGAAAATAGAGCTAAAGATAATAAAAAAAAAAACAAAGGTTGAACGGATTTCATCCCCAACTATAGTGGAGCCATTATAACACGAGGAGGTAAGCAACATGGTCTTTAAAAATAGTGATACATACAATAAAGTTGGCTCCTCGAAGCTGGTTATTGGTTATGAAAGATTTATGTCAGATTAGAGCGGGTCTAGAACACAAAAACGACCAACAGAACCTAAGCCAACATCCAACAGGTTCGAGGTGTTAACCAACATTACTATAAAGTCGCATACATATACACATATGTGGCGCGACGTCCCATTACCGAGACTGGGCCACCTCCAAGATCCTCTGCCAGTTGGCTCTGTCTTCTGTTGCAGCTTTCCGGTTCCGTACAATAAAGTCACGAATGCAGTAAATCTTTTCATATTTCGATTTTTAAAAAACCTTCATATGTTCTTTGTAGACATTACAAAAGAGCCATTCAGAGAAAATATTTTCAAAATTGAAATTTTATATTATTCTTATATTAAAATTGGGAAACCGCATCATAAGTGAAGTATTCCTCAGTGTTTTCGGTGCCACCAATATGGACAGACTAGAATATATTGCAACCATTGACCACGATTTGTGAAGTGTGAAAGAAATCAAGTCATTTCTGAAAAACAGAGACACTCCTGCTAAGTGCGCCAATTGTGGCGATCAGCACCCGGCTAACTACAAACGCTATCAAACGCTGAAAGATCTGAATGTTCAGAGCAAGGCATGAAACCATCTTCAGAGTCCCAATAGTAGATCCAGAGCAAGGATCTCCAGGCATACATGAATTTCTTCCATTATGTCAGAATTTCAACTGAGCAGATCCACAGTCACCGCTGGGCTTAAGCAACAACGAAATTAACCAAAATCGAACGCAGTACTCCAGATCCAAACAATATAGGTGGTAGATAATGGCTCTTCTCAGTTATTTAATATAAAAATTTTGGTGACGATTTCAATAAAATGTTTTATCTTAATTTTTACAGTTTGAAATAGGTTCTCAAATCTTTTAAATGTTTGCGTTTTTAAGTTCTTGGAGAACATAAAAACTTCCACTATCCTTCCACAATCGTCTAATATAAATTTTATGAAAATTTAATATGTTTAAAACAATAATAAAGTAAATATAGAAATAATAAAGGTTAAACCACAATTCCCAACAGAACTTAAACTTTTTTTTTTATTTGCTGTTTTTTATTGTCGCATCGACTGCCAGGGTCATTAGCGACGATCTTTTTTCTTAAGTATAACTTATTAATTTTATTTTTCGAATGTACGTTTTTTCAATACCACTGTTTTCTTTGTACGATGCCTTGTCATCAATTTGGAGTTCCATTTGCTGTTTACGGTATTTGTCGCACTAGTGTTCAACGGTCAGATTACCATTTTCAGTTGCCTCACATGTTGGTCGATGTAGGCCAAGAAGTAGGTGGAGATGGGTCAGTTTGGTATGTCCAGTTCTGAGTCTGCCTATTATAGAATACCCAGTCAGCTGTTTAGGAGTATAACAAGCTCGATTTTCGTCTTTGGTCAGATGAAGGTGATTAAGTGGCAGTAATCTCCACTGTGCATTCCAATTGTCGTTCACTTTCTTTGAAATTTCTTTTGCCCATTCGTTGAGAAATATCGATCCTAAAATAGGTGAATCTGTGTTTCTGGCGGCTTCTTTTGCTCTCTGAACGGCTCGTTCATTGCCAATTATCTCTGTGTGTGAGGGTACCCAAAACGATATTATTTCTTGACTATTTTTAATTAGTTTCAAGTTCATAAGTTGAACTTTTTTATGCAATGTTTCACATGTCAATGTAATTTGCAGTCCTTTGATTACAGATAAGGAATCGGTCACAATGACTGATTTCTCAATATTGGTGTTGATTACGTATTCAAATGCCTAGAGAATCGCTCACGTTTCACTTGTGAAAATTGAATTATGGTTATTTAATTTCCATTTTTTAAATATTGTTTTGGGTTATGATACAATTCATTGACAATTTCATGATACCTATATCTAATTTCTCCTGGGGTAGTGTTGTTCGGAACATTGTTTAGTCCTACTTCATTTTTGATTGATGGAATTGCCCATAGAGGGGTATCTCCTATTTTATGGGATATAATATCTATATGTGTTGTAATTTCATACTCAGTGGAGTATTGCTCTATTCTATTGCTTTTTTATTTTTATGGAATAATAATTTGCATGAGCTAATTAGGTGAATATATCCTAAAGCACAACAATATTAACAATTTTAAAATCAAGACAGTTTTTCGACGGATAAAATCAGTTAAAAAAAAAAATTATGCTTGAACCTTTAGTTCCATAATATGTAATTATTATAAATCTATATATTTAAACATTTACTAAGTCAGTTTTTATTTCAATCTTTTTAATTTTCGCTTAATAATGTTGACTTGAATCATCAAATTAATTTGTATTCAGAATTTATCAAAATTTAAAGCATAATATTCCTAAAATAACAAACAAGCGCAAAGCTATCAATTTACTTTTTGTTTCAATCGATTCTGAGTAAGTCGTATGACTAAGGTGGGCGAAGTTTTCTTTCCGAAAATAAGGTGTTTTGCACCACTGTGCAATCAAAAATGTATATTTAGGATTACTTTATTTATAGAAGAGATCACCCAGACAAAACTGCTCATGGATGAACAGCGATACTCGTTAAAAATTGACTAAAACACAATTCCATAGAATTACCCATTACTCTAGACATTCAATCGTCGACAATCACAATAAAGGTAGATACATCGCAAATTTGCCTCAGTTTACTGTCCCCCGAGGTACAAACTTACATCCATGATGTTTTTTAAGATTGTCAAACGCCTCTGAAAAGCTGCTTAGTAGTCGTAAAAACATGAGGTAAAACTACATTTTTTCCCTATCTCGCTTAGTTTTCGAGATATCCGTCCTCAACTGTCGCCAATGTTTAAAAAAAATTTTTATTTCTTGCTTTTTACTTTATTTGACAATCTAACTCTTGATTGCTTCGTGCTACGATTAAGTCATGTGGAAGAAAGGTTTTAATAATTGAATTTTTATAATATTCAATTATAATTATATAACGTTATTATATTGCTCTAAATCTATATACATCTATAACTTTTTATATATATATCTTTTATGTGTGAATAAAATAACATATATTATAAAAGTTATTTTTTTCTGCAAATTCTCGGAATCGTCATACAAAATTATTATTTATCTAACTTTTGAACCGTTGAAGACAAACTAGGAACATAATATATAATCTTGAAGAAAATTTAAATATTTTCTACCCCGGGACTTTGTCGTAGAACGAAGCAATCAAGTATTAGTCAAATACAGTAAAAAACATAAGTCAGTTAAGGGTTTCAAATCCCGAATTAATTAAGCTCTATACGAAAAACAAAAGTTTCTACTTCAAAGCCCAGGAAACCTGCACTTTCTGTAACAAATTCATATCTAACAGCCTGTTCCATATCCTTCTGTACTGTGAAAAGCTAACAGACAACAGACACAAACATTTACGAGCATTTCTCTCTGCGCCAAGTGATGTAAACAAGATACAAGACATACTTCGAATCGATAGCATAGAGAAACTTAATAAAATTTACTGGTTCATATTGTCAGCGTGCAATTCACTGGATTCCTTAAGCTCTGATGTTCCACACAACAACCAAGTGCTATGACTAAGGATAATTGTTGGTCAGTTCAATTAATTGTTTGTTTCTTTTTTATTTTTTGGTTTTATTGATAATGCAGATAGAAATTAATTGAAATGTAATGAAGTATTATTGTTTAGTCATTGTTTTTATAATAAGTCAATGTACAGTTAGGATAGATAAACTAGACTCATGTAGGTGAAATAAAGTTATTCATATATGTATCATTTGTACAAGATTCTAAAATAATCTTTAACAAATAAATTCTATTCAGTAAAAAACATGAGCTAAAAAATTTTGTTTTCCACATTAGCGATAGTTGAGGACGGATATCTCGGAAACTAAGCGAGACAACTAAAAAAGGTATTCAATCAATCATATTGCAGGTTTTATCAGCTTTAATTTTGTATAAAATGCCTTTGTCGATGAGATAGATATTTTACCTGACATAAGCGGAAACCCAAAAAACATCAATAAGCATAAGGTAAATTTTTTTTCTTCGAGATTGCCCATAGTTGAGGACGGACGTCTCAGAAACTAAGTGATATAGCGAAAAAAGGCATATAATCAATTATATTGAAAATTTTATCAACTGTAATTTTGTATAGAATGTCTTTGTCGATGCAATGGATAGTTTTCCTGATATAAGCGAAGGCCTGAAAAAAGTGACCTTCTATGCGTCCTCCTCTACATCTGGCTCACTATCTAGGGGTGGGGACTTTTAGTATGTTTACCTCCTTACTAGTCCAAACAATGTACCAAAGTCAAAAATTGTTTTCCCGCCATTTCCTTTTATATTGACTGGACTATAACTTCAATCCGAATTTGGAGGATTAAATTAAAATACCTAAGACTACATCATTCGAATTTCTTCAGATATTAGTGAGTCTCACGAGAATAGCAGTGGAAGATAATACTCCCTTTTATGCCCACAGGCGTAGGGATAAATAAACGAGATTTTTATTTTATTTGTTAACCTGGTACTTGATTGAGAAGGTCATAAGAGACTCTCCAGACACCCGAAGCTCCAGTAAATCACCTCGTACTCCTCGGGTACGCTGAAGACATTAATATCGCAGAGAAATCGTTAAGGGGCACGAATTGATAGCGACTAGTAAATTTCAGTCAAACATTTTATATAAATGCGAACTTTGGCTTCTCTGAGAAGATTGCTTCGCTTTAGATGGTCGAGCCCTTTTTGATGTCTATAATTGGAAGGCAGCAGCATTCGATAGAGAACTGGCAGTCAATGTAAAAGCAGGCTAAGCCTAGACTTAGGACTTGGTAGAGCCATTAGGAAAAAAAAAAAAAAGAATTTCACTTAAAGTAATCTGCTAAAGATGAATATTTGTAGGGGTCTATTTTTTTTTTTTTTTTTTTTCAAAACTATCATATTTTTAACTTTAACTTATTGAAATTTATTGGATATTTAATTTAAACATTTTTAAAAATAAACATACATATAAATCAACCGCCTTGTAGTGCGAAGTTTTACAACAAGTCACATGAGAATGATCCATATAGATAGATACTAACTATATATAAGTACACACAAATACATACAATAATTTAGAAAGTATAGAACAGAATAGAAATAGAATAAACAAATTCATTCTGGAACAAAGTCCCTTAAGAATAACAATGGACTACAGAAAAATAAAGGTTTATACCGGCCATAAAGCAGATTATTGTAAAAGAATAACTAAAATAGAGGTACAATCATGTAAATAGTAAAAAAAAAAAAAATTAAAGTAAAAATATTCGCCACTAAAATAAAACGATACAGAAATGAAATAGTCCGTGGTACAGATCCCTTTTTATCAAATTATTAAAATCCGCCTGAAACTTCGTAAATAGCTTCATTTTATCGTAACCTACAAATATATTTACGAAAATTCTCGGATTTGGGGCGTTTTAAATCTAGAGGTAGGCAAACTTTGTCTACTTAATTAAGTACCAAAAACTCGTAACTACCCATTTGCTTTCCACTTGGATCGTAAGATAACTTAAGCACAAATTCGAGAAAAAAAGGGGACTACAAAAATATTGGGTCGTCAAATGGCTCAATATTTTTGTAGGCCATCTTTTTTCTCGACTTTGTGCTCAAGTTATCTCCCGATTCAAATGGAAAGCAAATGGGTATTTACGAGTTTTTGGTACTTAATTAAGTAGACAAAGTTTGCCTACCTTCTGATTGAAAACAACCAAATTCCGAGAATTTTCGTAAATTAAATATTGTTGGTTACAATAAGATGACGCTACCTAGTTCTGCCATTAATACTGTTACTAAAGTTGAACTTTATTTACATCCTTGGGTATTATTTAGACAATCTTTAAATCTATCAGTTTATTTTCTTTAAATGTCAGGATAATAATCACCATTAGTTTGTATTTTCTTTCTCTCAGTTAACATGGAGTGGGGTGATAAAGAAAACCGAATGTGATCGCTTTACACAAAGTTGGAAAATGTAGGTTAGAGATTTTCAACACTTTGAAACCTTTGGGTATCAACCGTATGTTCGTGTACCGCACTATAAATAGATATAATGAGACCCTATCTGTATGTGACAGACCTCAACTGGGCCGTCCCCGCACTGTGAAAATGGCAAATGCAAAGCAGTGTCTGCTCAAACCAAAAGAAATCCCATTTGGAAACAACAAATCATGTCTCGGGAAATAGGACCAATGTCTCGAATAATAAAAGGTGGGATGGGTGCATTCCGAAGAATGACAGGACAAAGGCTAACCACTTCCCTTAAAAAAATTAGAATGGATAGTTGCAAAAGTGCTCGTTGGCCGTTACATCAATATTCTTCATCGAAAGATTTTGTTTAGCGAAGAGAAAATTTTTACAATATAAGAAAAATGTAATCGCAAAAATGATCGTATATACGCACATACTTAAGAAGCCCAGGAATTCATTGGAAGAATGGAAAGAGGTCATCACCTCTTTTCAAACCAGTAATGGATTGGTGTGGAGTTTGCTTTGATGGCACCACAAAGCTTTGTTTTTATGAAAAATCAGTTAAAACAGCCGTTAAAAACTATCAGGATCATATTTGGAACCTGTTGTCAAGCCTCTAAATGATACTGTGTTTGCTAGAGGTCATTGGGTTTTCCAGCAGGATTTCGCTCCAGCTCACAAGGCCAGATCAACTCAGCAGTGTCTGCAAAAGAACATTCCAATGTTCATCTCTGCCTCGGATTGGCCCTCAGGAAGCCCTGATCTCAACCCACTAGTTTATCGGCTTTGGTCTGAACTGGAGCGGATAGCATGCCATTGAGCACACCCTAACTTGGAAAGCCTCAAACAATCTCCGGTCCGAGCAGTTGAGCGCTTTCCTCAAGAAGTGCTGCTATTGATGACGAGCCACGGAGATTAAATGCCTGTGTCAAGCCGATTGTGAGCAATTTCTTTTTTGTTTCACTCTGTATAGATATAAATTATATTTTCTAATAAAGTTTTTGAAAAAAATAATTTTTCGGTTGAAATTTGTATATATTTCCTGTTAACAATATTTACGACAGGACTAGGTATTTACAAAGTTTCACCCGGGTAATAATAATTTGATAAAAAGGGGTGCGTACCATGGACTAAAAAGTTATATTAATCTTATAAGCAAACAATCTTAACAATAAAAAGAAAAAATACTATATATAAAATGATTTAAAATGTTAATATACAATTTATGTATACATATAAATATAAGTACGTTTTTGTGTATCTTAAAACCAACCTTTCAGAAGTACAGTCTGTGGCTGTATAACTGCCACATGTTGCATCTAATGCTTTTTTCCCCAATGCAGGTATGATAACGTTCGAGCATGATTTGAAAGCCCCATCCATAAAATTTGAACTTAGATAAAGATCTATACTTGTAGCATATCGCTCTGTAAAATAAATGTCCGGTTGAGTTTAGATGTTTTTATCAGCATTCAATCAATTAAGGATAAATTTGACATTAATGAACAGCAGTTGATTTTAAATAACTAAAATGCTTAGTTTTTTTTTGAGATTCAAATGTTTATTTAACTATCATTAACATTTATTTATGTAGTTTAGTAAAAGTTTTGATTGAGGACAAGGATTGAGCGAAACCCATCGCCCACGATGGTGAAATCATCTCAACATGAGGAAAGCCTCATGGTCTTTAATAACAGTGAAATAAATAATCCTGATTTTTCCAGGGATTTGGTAATTGGTCGTAAAAGACTAATGACAAATTCAAATCACTCACGTGAACAAAAACGACCAAGAGAATCGATACTAACCTCAGACAGTTGACAGGTTCTAACTCACAATCAGCAGAGATAAAAAAAAAAAACCAACTTCTCAGTGAATACTCCATTACATAATTACATAGTGGAAATGTCCATGCATTCAAGAGGAGTCGCGTTAGGAGGATCAGGAGTGTCTTCTAAGGTGCTGAAGACGGAGTTTGTAGTTCAGGAAGAGAGACCTAAAGGCCTGGAGGCGAAATCTGAAGCGAGCAATCCCAGAATTCATAATACAGAATACATATGAAATAAATGTATTTTGCTGGCGACAATCTTTAGTACAAGAGTGTCGCGTAGATGGTTGATAAATACAGCGTTTCAGAGTTCTTCCAGATTTATTCAGAACTACTAGGTCGTGGCGTTCAACAAACATCTTCAGCCTCTTGCTGAATTCTAAATATACTTGTTGTTTTGAAAGAAGCAGACCAGGACTCTCTTTCCCCACTTGAAGATATCTTACACCAATAGAAGACTTGCCAAATGAAGGTTAATGTCTCGGCGGAAAGAAACCATCAAGACGTATCCGGAGTTAACGATTTAATTCCGCTAATTCCGCCGAGTTCCCGCAAGTATAAAAGGATTAACTCGGTAACTCCACGAAATTATCATAATTTGTTTCTGCCATTGATATATATTCGTCAGCAATAAATATAAGTCGATGTTTCAGATATTGGATGTGACGTTCGGCCAAGCAACTTCTAGCGGGGTGGCCAGGTCCGATGAACTTTTTTCTGGAGAATGACAGAGATGGGCAAATGCTACTTTGAGGACCGATCACCAAGTATTTTACTCATTTTAGAATTCAATCACTACTTTAGTTAATCCTTTAAAATAAACTGAAGTAGTAATTAAATTCTTTGGTACTAAAAAAGGTCAGGATTTGAGTAAAATACTTAGTACTCAGTACTAAGAGTAGCATTTCCCCATCTTTGATGCTTAGTCGTACAGTATGAATGGAACTTCTCACATTTAGCAACTGAAGATGAGAAAGTTGGGTAATCCGTAGAAAGCGAAGATGTCATTTAACAGGCATGTCTTCAAAGTACAGGTTGTTTCCCTGATTCCCAGATAAATCTTGTCATTTCTAACTCTGTTTCTGTTTTTTCATGAATGTTTTTCATGTAATTTCATCACTTGAAATTTCGTCATCAATTTAAAGTTCGTTAGAAAAGAAGTTGGTTTACCTCATCAAAAACTGAGGTATCCATCAACTGATATGTGCAGTTCGAAGGAGCTCTGGATGGAAAATCCACATTCATATCGTTGTCAACGTCCATTTTATATTAAAACTGTAGTTCTTATAAAAACGAAGGATAACACAATAGGCTGTGTTTCTTTTTCTTCTGTTATCTACGCTTTCTACAGTAAAGAGCTCTCGTTATTGGTAGTGGTGTGTTTCGTGATTTTCAGAAAATTGCTCCTCAAAATGTTGTTTTCATCTGTTAAAGACCTTTTCTTGTATTAAAGCATCAATTTACATCGCTATCACTTACATTTCAGACGGCCTTACTTTCCTATTAAAGTTTTCACGTTTGGCACAAAACCTCTAATAGACTCACGATGGTTCTCACTCAGCTTTTTACGGAATTACTCACAGGAGCGTTTCTTAGCATAATTTAAGGCCATCTTATATTCGCCTCTGGTTATGCCGTAATCACGTAAGCTCTCTTCGTTCTTATCTTTAAGGTATGATTTCCAGACAAGTTTCTTTGGATAAACCAGTGATGGAGGTCACTGGTTCAATAGCTGGTCTGTTTTTTTCTCACCAGATATTTTGCTCCTCCCACATTTTGCATTTGCTACATCTAGAATACATGATTTGAATGACCTCCAGATCTGTTCTATCTCTCTACTGAAAGCCCTTATTGTGTCTTCTAAGTTCTCCGCATACAGGCCCTCTTTTTTTATATCAATCAAGTCCTTTGTGTTGACGGTCTTAAATGCCTTTACTGTATTAAGTGTCAATCATACATAAAATAGTCGCAATTTGCATCAAGCACGTAAAAGTAATTTATGAATCACTACTCTTTGTGAATTCGAGTAGAATATCTTCTTGTCTACAACATTTGCATTTTCAGCTGGTTGGTACACCTGGACAAACGAAAATGGTGAATCCATAGGTATATGGACATCTTAAAATCTACTAGCATCATTCTAAATAAAAGTTATATACACAAATAAAAAATTAATAAATAAGATGGAACGAACATTATTAACCAAATGAGGAAACAATCAAAAATACTTTGTTAGGAGAACAAGAAAAAATTGCCCAACAAGTAAGTGAAGATAAAACACTGTCCAACAAAAGTACCTGCTTCGAAGAGAAATCGTTTACGACAGTAGACCAAATAAGCTTAATGACCAATTGTCAGAAATAAACCAGTGTATAGAAAGCGGAAATAGAGCATTCTCCTCTCTTATAAATCAATGTACCATGATATGGAGGGAAGAAGGTTACAACGGGTGGAACATGTACCCCGAAGTAAACCACCTGGAAGCCTTTACACAATAATGGATACTGCATGTTGGCAAGAGACCACGTGGGAGGCCAAGATATAGATGGATAGATAAAATAAAAAAAGATGTAGATCAGTATACAGCAAAGTAGTTAACAGTAGTCCAAGAAAATATGGAGAAAAAATTATAAGATCCCTAAAGTCATATCTAACTTTTTAAATTATTTTCATGTTCAACTCTAATGTAACTAATTTTACGACGACTAGCGATTTAATTTAAAATTCAGCTATTTAAAAAATAGCTAAGTCCAACTATTATAAAAATGTCATCAGATACAATGAAAATATTACCATATGTTTCTTCATTCAATTGAACTTCTCGCAATTGAATATATTCACTTTGTTTAGGATTACATGTTGATGAGCAAGCCATAGTGATTAAATTTTGTAGGCAAGAGGGACATCTTTTAAATACTGCGGACATCGCTTGCACTTGATGCTGGATTCCATTTATTAGTTGATCAGCATTACAGCAAGTGGTGGTATCACCTTAAAAATGAAAAAAATAAAAATTAGCTTTAATTATGAACTAATGTTAACTGGGAAATAATAATAGCTAGCTATCATAAAATACAAATTAATAAACAAACAACAAGATCATTATTAAGTAAACAGATACTCAATTATAAGCAAGTCTCAGTGAAATGCTCCCAGGTTTATTATCACTTGATTCTTCATAAATATTTGACAAAAATTCACAGGTACAGTCAAAGATTCACGAGCCACGAATGCTGAGAATAAAAACTGCTTATACCTTATGGGCATAATTGTAAGGTCATTTATATTTCTCATTTTGAATAATAATTGATGTCCCGCACTGTGCTATTTTGGATGAACCTCAGCCGTTCCGTACTTTGTAATATTTACGTACTGTATAATATTTATTTGTATTTGCATCTAAGAGTGTTTAAAATTCATCTAAGAGTATCCCAAAAATTACCAAAAGCATTGTCCAGGCCATTATTATAGAGTTCCATTTCAAAGATATAATCATTGTTTTAAGAAAAAACCAACCAATTTACTCGCTTCAAATCATGATTGAAATTGTAATATCAAAACTAATATTTAAATAAAAAATAAATTTAGAAATTCTTTATTTGTACCTCCTATCTAAAAATCTTATATACACTGACATGCAAAAAATTCCACCCACTTGATTTTTTCATGTTTTCATCTAACAATATTTCTGCTTTGGATTGGTCTATTGTTTTTAATGAATAAATAAGGTAATCTTTTTGTTTGTTTTCAATTAGGAATGTTAATATAGAGGACAATAACTCTTAATCCTTAATTCAATGAAATGATTCTAGATTCCAATGTTCACTTTCCATGGAATCAAAATTTAGTATCATTAGTTCAGTGCCGTTTCTTGCAGCACATTTCTTAGTCTTCGACTTTTAATTTTTTATTTATTTCGGAAAACTTGCAATAGAAGGCCCGGTTCTGGACGGCCTAGGGCAACAGAACCACGGGATGACCGGTTTTTGACTTTGAGAATTTTACGAAACCGGCACCTTACAGTTGATCAAGCGATTCATCAGCTCGAAGAAGTTCGAGGTGTGCAAATTTCTGTACCGTTCGGAGAAGATTAAATATGAACGGATTAATGGCTTTTCGTCCAGTAAGAGGACCAGAGTTGACCAGAACTCACAGAGTAACACGGCTGGCCTTTGCTCGAGAACACAGCCATCGAATGTAGTGCTGTACTTTTTACAGATGAGTCAAGATTCGCTCTTCGATCTCCAGAAGGGCGTGAAAGGGTGTGGAGAAGAAGAAACGAAAGCTATGCAGCCTGTAATTTTTCCCAGAGCCAACCTTTCCAACGTGGTTCCTTAATGGTGTGGGCTGGGATTTCAATGGAGCGCCGCACAGAATTGGTTGTTGTTCGTGGAGGGTCTTTGACGGTCATTCGCTATGTAGATGAGATTTTGGAACCTCTTGTGTTGCCTATGCTCAACGAAATCGACGTTCGTTCTATTGTAATGCACGCCCACATGTCGCCCGCATAGTGTAGACGTTCCTTCAACAGAACAATATTGAGGTTTTAGCCTGGCCAGCACATTATCCAGATTTGAACCCCATTGAGCATTTATGGGATAACTTCGGAAGACGAATAAGAGCGCGTGCAACATTTCCTGATACACTGCAGGACCTTGAAAGGGCTCTTCGGGAGGAATGGGCTATCCTCCAACAAAGGGACATTTCCCGACTGGTGGAAAGTATGCCGAGGCGTCTTCAAGAAGTAGTGAAGGCAAGAGGAGGAAACACGCGCTACTAAACGATGATGTAATTAATTTCTTTTAAAATAATAATGGTTCGTTTTTCAATTTTTTTTTCTCTACTCTTGCTTACCCAATCACATTTTAATTATTAAAGGTAAAAAAGATTATAAAATTCCATAAATACTAAGTATTATCTACAAATACCATGTATTATATACAAATACAACTTTTTTTACAAGTGGTAGAAATATTTTTAGATGAAAACATGAAAAAATCAAGTGGGTGGAATTTTTTGCCTGCCAGTGTATATACTAATGCTAAATATCTCATATCAAAACAAAAAAACAAAAAATTCCAACAGCAATTTTAAAGTTTTTAATGGCGCCTTGTCATTTCCTTTTTCTTACGAGAAAATTGTTATTTTCATGAGCCTTACTTATTTTTTATCTGATTTTTTTTTCCACCACTTCTAATAATAATATCTTATAGTTTTCACATTACTCGTATGTCCTACTATTTAAGGTTCCAATATTCAAGTTTTCGTTTTTTCTTTTTCGTTGCATAGGTCCATTATTTTTTTCTCTTTTCTAGCAGAAAAAGAAAAGGCTCTGCTCTGATTTGGCGTATTTATTTAGAATAGTTCTGTTTTATCACAATATCGTGGTTTGCAATTTTTTTTTATTATGTATTGTTCTTCGATAAATTTGATCATAATTTTACAATGTTAGTTGAAAATATTTTGATCTTGTTTGTATTATTTCATATTTTCCTATCCGAGTATTTAAACAATTTAAAATCATTTCATATTAATAATTTAATTATTATTAAAATAATTATCAATCTACTATATAAAAAAAGTTCTTAGTGACATATTTTATTTTACACTGCAAAATGCACGCAGAGCACCACCGACGTGTGGGTTTACGGATATTGCGCCCTAATCCCAAAAAATATTTTTTAAAAATCTTCAGGATGTAAGTTTTCAACTATTCTTAAATAATTATTGCTGTATTTTTTTCTGTAACTTTTTAATTTGTAAAACGTGGGATCGTACGCGGTCAGGCAGACAGAGGGTACTCCTCCTAGTTATTTTTAAAATAATTTAATATAATGTCATATAAAATAGTATCCCGCACAAATTCAAATGTTTAAATAGTTACAAAATTTCTTTTTTGTTATTATTTTGTTTTTTTTATTTCTATAAATACGTTGTACATTTATATTTATTTTTTATTAAAAATATATAGATTATCCTAGCCATTGCAACACCTAATTAGTGGATTAAATCACTGATTTCAGGTGCTGTAATAAATTCTATCTTTAATTACCTGTTTCATTGTAGTACGAAGGGCAATATTTCTTAAGTAACTCCAAACCAGTTGAGTTGGTCAGTAACTTTGGAGGGCCTTCGTAAACACATTGTTGATGCAGGTCCCCCGTTGAATGGCAGTATCCATACATAACACAGTCAGATCTGGCATATCTCCACTCAAGGGCCTAAATTATTATATTTTTTAAATAATAATACAAACTAGCTCTTACTTAATCAATTTATAATGGCAATAGGGAATCCGGTTAATTAATATGAAATAATCAGAAAAAATCTGGTGCGCGCAACTCACAACTTTCACTTACTCTTTAAACTTTGCTCAACTTTGAATAGAAATTATTTTCTGGCCATGTTGGGCTATTATAAAATTTTTGAATTTCATTTTTAACTGAGCTAAAGCTAAAAGATTGAAGCTAACAAATCATAAATACTATTAAAATAACAAAAGTCCTATTTCTTATATCACCAATTGATTATGGATTGTACGATTCGTTGATTATGGATTGTTCCATCCGTCGATTATGGATTGGACGACTATTAGTTATTAAACTGATATTTTGCATTGCAAAGTTTATTAAAACGGAATTAAGAGATTTGCATTGTCTGTCATAGACAGGTCAAAAGTTGTCACACTAATTGTAAGTGGATTCTGTTGGAATATCCCAAAGAGAAAATTTATCAAATTATTCACTAATTTAATTTTCTAAAAAGTTACATGACAATTTTTCGGAATAAACGTTTAAATTTAAATTTAAATATAATATTAGATCTATAATCACTAAACTACAGTAAATGTATTTTAGGTTATAAACTTATGCTTTATACGTCCATGAAATGACTTTATATTTTACACTTTACTTCTTATTTCATACAAGTACAATGACATGGTTTTTTTTAACAATGCCATTGTCTTGATAAGGTGGATTTTAAATACTTTCTACAAACGTAAAAATATTTTTCAATGGTTACATTTAGTTAGTAAATTTCAATTAATTTCCTTGAAAACTTGTGATTTACATTAAATATAATCAATTTGAAAAATTATTATTTCTAATTTTTTGCCGCTCTCCGTTACCTTCTACAACTTTCTATATTAGAAATTGTTTTTTCTAAAACTCATCGCTTAACAATGATATATTATAAGTATACCCTCTGACTTGTATTTCAGGAGATTCATTTTTGACTTGTTTAAGCATTTTTATTTTTTTCTCCTTTATTCAATTATCAAATTCTTTCAAAAGTTATATTTAGCATTTTTTCGTAACTTTTAATGAGAGATAGTTTATTATTTAAAATAAACCATATTACAGATATTTTAGAGGAAGACGCATATGAACATTGGGTATTTAAGCCCTGTAAAGTGACATCAACGGGGATAAGACCTAAATGATATTAAAAACCAACTAATAATACACTGATATACCGAGTTTAATCAAAACTGTGTGAGCAGTTTTTGAGAAAATTTTAAAAACGTGTTTCAGCGTTGATATAAAGTGGCACTTCCGGTTAGCCGATTTTAAGAAAAACGTTGCTGTCACATCTAAGGCATATACTTATCTTAAATATGTAATATCAGTTTAGTACGACTTTTCGATTTCGAGCTAAAGTGTTCACATACACACAGACCACTTTTCGGGACTTAGTTATTTGGACTCAGGGGACCGCAAAACGTGTATTTCCGTAGAAAACTCAGATTACAAAATTTTCATTTCGCAATACTTACACTTATTATATATTACATAGATAGGTAAGTGAAAGTAAAAATTTAAATAAAATGCTTAAACTGGAAATTCGATTTATATAATAACAGCAAATCTGTTTATGTTTATACAAGTAACATGCATACCTAAATATAAGCTAGAAAGTCAACTCTTTCGAACACTGAATTTTTCGCTAGGTCCCGAATGTTAATATCCCCGTTAATATAATATATCCGAAAGCTGTATTTGAATGGAAAGAACAATTATTATTATTTATTAGTTGTACATATTTGTGGCTCACAATAAATTTGCCATCTACCTTAGTATTCAACAAATATGATATCAAGGAGAAGAATAACAAGACAAAAAAAAAAAAAAAAAAATACAAAAAAAAAAGAAAAAAAACGTAGTAAAATAACACATACATTATAACATAATAACAAATACACACACAAAAAAAGATAATGCAGCAAGTAGCTCAATGCAATAAGTCTCTTGGCCACCGCCTCAGCAGTCTTCTGGGCGAATTATATGGATTTGTGGCAGTAGATAGAGCTTGAGTAAGTGAATTGGAATTTAGAGTCAGTCTGTCATGAAAATTATTAAAGCGGTCAGCGGCAGTTGCCGTGATGAAAGGAGTGTTAAGGTCTGTGTGTAACGTGAGATTTGAAACGTAAAAGGGTGCGTCTACAATTTTTCGAAGGACTTTTGACTGGAATGACTGAATGATTTTTATATTTGATTTCTTACTTAATACTACCTTGGAAAGAACAAGGTAGTATTTTCTCGGAGTGAAAACTATAATTATAAAGCAAACGCCATCTATGGTGGCCAGTAAATTTCCTTCTAGTTCTCAAAATTCTGCAGCGGTATTCTTCAATGTAAATACGCTTAAATGATTTAATGAACTATCGATCTGCCATTCTGATATGTAGACAGTGAGTGGGTGAGGGATATATATAGCATACCTTAAGGAATGCTGACTGAAGATCAAGGAAAATAGTGCAGGTGGCCGCACAGGTGTCTCCTTAACATTTTTATCTTAAGCCAGTTACATAATTAATCTCACTCGGAAAAGATAATGGAACAAATTATAAAATCTGAAGATTTGTGGTCCGGTTCAGGACAGACATAAATAAATGATAAATTATTCTACTGTTCACACTGATTTGGAATAGTGATTTATATATATATATATATATATATATATATATATATATATATATATATATATATATATATATAGTTATAAAAAAGTTTTTAATGACCGAGTAATATTTTATTTTACATATAAAAAAGGGACAGGCCGTAACGAAGACTTGTCACGTACCGTAACGAACACTTCTTATTTCCAGAATAATTTCCCCCTTATTATGGTTACAAATTGGCAATAAGAATGATTATAATTATTACCTGAACAAGAGAAACGAAACGATAACCTAAACTATGTGTTAGGTTGTCCGCTAAAACTAATGTAACGCTTTTTTGAACGAACAGATGGATCGATTTTTTAAATTTTTATGGCTCAAATTATTCGGTGATATCTCCTGAGTGTTTCGAAACAATTTCAGCTAAAAAAACACTGCAAATTATTCCACAATGGTTTATTATTTCCAAACAACTATACATCTAAAGCAAAATTACATTCTAGATACAAAGAAAAATAAATAAAAGATGATTCCAATTATTGGACTAAACTTTTTTTTTTTTCATTCATTAGAAATATGCTAAAAAAAAAAATAGCATTACTTCATTAACACATTAAAAATTTAAAAACCAAACAAAGGATATAACATTTGGAGTAGAATATAAAAAAAACAAAAAAAAAAAACGGAGACCATATCTTTGCTCCTAATTATCCGATTTTAACGATTATTTTTTTTTGGTTTTTAGGAAATTTCGTAAACTTTAAAAAAATTGCGATATCTCTGCTAATAGTGCTTTGATTTCGATGAAACTTCCTTAATTTTTTAGGAAATTTAAATACCTTTTAAACATCTTCCACATCTACAAAAAAGAGTATACTTTTTGGGTTATTCGGAATTAAATTTTACCATCCCTCGTAACTTTTTTTCCAGCTTCTTTTCGTTGAAGTATGTTATATAGATAAATTTAAAGGGCGTAGAGAAAATTACTTTAGCCAAGTTTCATTGAAGTCGCTACATTCGTTTAGGCGCTACAGTCTCTAGCAACGTAGGTTCTTCGGCCGCCATTTTGAAAGTAAAAGGCGGATAATAATGTCGATGAAGGAGGATCATCCTCGGGTGACCTCTGATTTTATATCCAAATTTGAAAAAAATCGGTACAGTAGTTTCGGAGAAAAACGGCGGACGGAAAAAAAAATTGTATTCGTTTTTCGAATTCTACGCATCCTGAAACGTGATACCTCAAATTTTGAGAGGAGATTAAATTTTTGAATTTTTTGCTCGATCACAATGTTTGATTATTGAAAATAATAAACCGTTAGTAAATAAAATGTTTTTAATCAATTTGCTATATCAATGTTTTTAGTCATCAAGAATGAAATTTGGTTCGGCGGATGTCAATCTGTCTGTCTGTAGCCAAATCGATGTGACGGGCATATCACCTACTACCGCCTATCCGATTTTCATGAAATTTTCAGGGATTGTGCGGGTCGGTGTCTAGATGGTCCCATGTCAATTTTATCAAATTCCGTCTAGCGCTTCTTTATTAAGTGAATATCAATTTTATATTTTTCTGTCCACTACTCTAAAAAAAAAAAAAAAACCTTCTGCTTTCGGATCAGTAAATATATTACTTGACACGCCTAAAACAGATAGTTCAAGTTGACTCAAACTTTGAAGAAATTTAGAGAACATTATAGAAATTGGATAGTATGAATTTCATTTAATAATTAAAATTAATATAAATAACTTTTAATAGTATAATGACTGTGAACTGTGGAAGGCATTGTTCATGTGTAATGAGGGTTAGTTTAATACAATATTTTTATGAGGTTACAACATTTAATAAGGTTTTATTCAAAAAGTTAATTTATGCTGGATGGTTTGGTCGCTTTCAAATATTATTAGCATGATGCTCACTGCCGTTATTTAGATTTCATGTAATTTTCAATAATTAAATTAATTCTTAATCTAAGTTTGTAAAAAAAAAAGTTCCATCCATTTTACGAGTGAAAACATATCTATTAAGTATATACATTGACAGGCAAAAAATTCCACCCACTTGATTTTTTCATGTTTTCATCTAAAAATATTTCTGCTTTGGATTGGTGTATTGTTTTTAATGAATAAATAGGTAATCTTTTTGTTTGTTTTCAATTAGGAATGTTAATATAGAGGACAATAATTCTTAATCCTTAATTCAATGAAATGATTCTAGATTCCAATGTTTACTTTCCATGGAATCAAAATTCAGTATCATTAGTTCAGTGCCGTTTCTTGCAGCACATTTCTTAGTCTTCGGCTTTTAATTTTTTATTTATT